TCCTCAGCCAGCTTTGCTGGCTGAGGAATTCTGGGAGTTGAAGTCCACAAGTCTTAAAGTTGCCAAGGTTGGACACCCCTGATCTAATGCAACTAATGCAATTAATTCTATAAGGATAATTAGCTCACCTGGCTGGGATTCTTACCTGGTTTATCACACATGGTCGACAAGCCACTTAATGATCCATCACTCCCTATATTCAACTGAACAACTTCCTCTAGTTGATTGGAAGGCATTTCTCTTATTTGATCCTGTGAAATTGCTACCCACTGAGATAGGTAACATCACATTTCCGAGGAAGTTTATTTTCAAGCGTAGGTCACTTACTACGTTAAAACACCTCTTCAACTGGCTGTACTGAAAATGCTCCAAGAGTTTAGGGAAAGGCCTCTCCTTCCCTGGAGGAGGCAAAGGCAAGCCACTTACCACATGGCCAATTCTTATAGAAAAGATTGCTAAGCTGCCTTGGGAAAAAAAAAAAACCTTTACATATTTTAATACCTCCCATTTCACAATTTTTGCTTACTAATAATTAATACAACCTCTTGACCTTTAAGGAATCAGACCATTTTCAAAAGAGGAAGGAAGATAGGTCTCATTCCCATGTAGTTTACCAATTTCATTTCAACCACAAAAAATAATGTAGATATACAAAGGGGGGAAAACTCCCTGAAACAAATCTCAGCTCCTGATGACTTCCCAGACATATCCTTTTGCTACAGGATCCTTCTTGATTCAAGGTTATTCCACGTGTAATACATTGGTATTCTCCCAACTAAGAATTAACCAGATCAGGCCTATCTTACCTTTCCTAAAATTGGTTTGGTACTTACCCACCATAGACTAAAATGAAAATACTTCCTTGAGTCAAGCTTCGACTTCTGTACTTTTTGCACCAATTTCAGAAAACTCTTGCTGCTGCTTTTGCAACTTCACCGCCTAGCCTATAGCCTTGAGATTTCCCTGTGAACTCCCTTCCAAATATTAATCATCTACAATCCTGCTTAACTTTTTCAAACCAGCCAAGATCAGCCAAAGGTACTTAAAGAGTACTGTCTCTATTACAGACTTTTAGGGAGCTGTTTAAAGCTATTTCTCGGTTAGTCTTTTATAGCATGGTTTATCTATCCTGACACTCAGGAAGATAGCGAGGACAGGATTAATATTGCTTTAACAATGGCTGCAAAGTGTTAGAAGCCTTTATAAATCAGTGCTGCAGAAATGGTCTAAAACAAAATCCAGCTAGGTGTGTATTGGTGAGGACTGTTGAGGGGGTAGTTATGATCAGGTCAAGTACCTTCTCCTACTGGACTGGCCTTTCCAGATTCAGGACTACCTACCAGCAATCGCTGTATAAAAGACTCAGGAGATAAGGCAGCACTCAGGGAGGGTATTATTAAAGAGCTGCCTCCTGTTCTTCCCGCAGGGCCTTTTACAACAACTTTCCAGTTGGAAGGACCCTTCATTATTTGAATTACATTACTTAAAACAGCCAAGAATATTTCTCTGCTATTTGTAAGCTGCTTCAGAAGACAGTATCCTGGAAGGCATGATATAAACAATCGTCAGCAACTCAGTAAACTATTCCACTCTGCCTGGTTGCAAACAGGGTACCTTTTCAAGCTATGCTGTCTAAATATTTTTGGATGGGATAAGCTACAAATTGAAACTAGCACTTTACACCAACAGAAATACTTTACTTAGTACATACTGTAACAATCTCAATGTTAAGCATTTCACTGTGTAACACAGACACATACATACATACATACATAAAAATATTGTCTTTTATTTTGATTTTAGGTTTATCATGTTTTTATGTTTTTAGGATGTAAACCTCCAGGAAGCATCTTTTTAATCTGGCAGTATACAATTACAGTAAACCAAATGAATAAAACTAGGTATAGGTTTGAAAGCAAGATCCACTCCACTCCTTACACTGATCAAGCAATGGAATATCTGCATGTATACTCAACACATAATAATTAAAATGTATGTTTAGCAGACTATGCTGGGAAATTCTGAGAGTTGAAGTCTACGCATCTTAAAGTGCTGCTGAGATTGAGAAACTATGAACTAAAATGTACCTTGCAAACAGACAAGGGACCTTCTGATATTATGTCTCTTATCTGAGTCGGGATCCGAAGAAATATTTTCTCGCAAGGGCATAATAACAATGGTGGGTTATTTTCACAACCTTAGGTGTGAGAGAAGAAGACACCCTATGAGGCTAAATCAACAGGGAAGTTCTCCTGAACAATATTCACTAACTTATGATCTGTCTTTGTGTAGGGATAGGCAGTTTGTGGGACCCACTTGTTTTTTATCACAGCAAGAAAGATGCAGCTTCCAAAATTCAACATTCAGATGTTACAAAGGGCTTTCAGCAATTTTTCCTAACCTAGTCCTGTGGCTATTATTCTAACATGCTGCCTAGGAATTCTATTTTATTTATTTTATTTATTTATTTATTTGATTTGCCAATTGTTTACAAGATAATAAGTATAAATGTATACATAGTTGTGAATACATGAAATGGTTACATATAAGAAAAATAAAAGAATAAGAGAAACAATAGGACAGGGACGGTAGGCACGTTGGTGCGCTTATGCACGCTTATGCATTCTGGATGCTTTAGTCCCAATGACCTGGGAGAACTTCAGGTGGAGAAAAACAAACTTAATTCTAGGTATTTGTTTTGAGGACCAGAACAAAAGCACACACAACAATCTTTCACAACAAAATCTCTCTCTAGTTTGCCCATCCCTACCATTTTTCATTATACATGGTCCTGGATTTTCTGCAAGGGGCTACACAGCTGCATAGTGATTTGCAAGGATCAGAAGATCTTCTCACCCTGCCTTTGCTTTTTCCCTTCCTCCCATTTTCCTCTCCTGCAAGCATCCTTTTACCTTAAGTCCCCGGATCTCGCCCAGGTGGAGCTGCAGGCGGCGGTTGACCTCCCGGATGAGGTTGCTGTGATCCAGCATGGCACTCACTTTCTCTGACTCAGCTTTACGAAGGCTACGAATGAGATCTTCTTTGCTCCATTTCAGCAGGTCCTCATCAGACACCTTAGAGAGGTCTTCAGCCAGCCCTGCCCCACAACTCTCTGATGCTGCTGGGGTTCCAGCTCCACTGGAAGCCGCCACTTTGGACATTTTGGTGGGCAAAGTTTCTTCCTGATGTCACAGCAAGAAAGATGCAGCTTCCAAGTACCCTGGGGGGAAATCCTCAAGCTTGCTCAGAGCACCTCTGCAGGTGAAATGAGGCAAGAGTACCCTTGAAGTCTCTTTAAGCAGGACCTGTCCCTCAATCCCCCAGGGTCCTTAAATAACCCCTTTCCTCGACCAAAACAATTGCTCCTGTGTGCCAGGTAGGCAACTGAGTCTCCAGGAGATTCAAACAGCTTTCAGAATCCAGCAACAAGAGCTTTTGTGTAAAGAGAAATGGCAGCCCTTCCTTCCCCCAAAGTTTCTTCTGCCAGTTCTTGTTCAGAAGAAAGGAGAGTCTCCCAAGATGGAGTGGAGCATTCTGAGGTCAACAAAACCCTTAGCTTTCACTCCTCGATATCTTTCCCAGGTGGAGGCAAGCGAGGCAGGCTAAGCAGAGAGGGGAGGAGAGTTCCGGTAGTTTTACAGCCCAGCGACAATCTTCAGCCTTAGTTCAACGTGGAATTCTGTCGGTTCACAGAGGCACCTTCGGGCAAAGTGGTCTTCCTTCAGAGGACCGGGGAGGCGGCGTCCTTCTTCGTGGACGAACAGCCACGCGTACACTCAAGTGACTGGGGCAAAGGATAGAAATTGACATCGGAGCTTGTAAAAAGCGGCATTCGAGTCACCCTCCAGAAGACCAGTCACCCTCCAGAAGACCCTGGAAAACGGAGAGGGGGCCCCCTCACAGGCGTCCAGCCAAATACAATGGGAACGGTAGCTTCCTTGCCCCACGAAGCGCCCGTCGCAAAACAGGTTCCATTGGCGGTGGTACTTGTATTTTCCCCAGAGAACAAGGCGCGCCTTTCTCGCTTGGAGAAGGCAGGGCAGCCGGGACGATTTGAGAACAAGAGCCCGGAAAGGAGGAGAGGAGAGAGTAAAGTACAGTACAACTGTCTGGACGACGCACCCAGGGCGAGCACACACACCGAGAGGGACGGGCGGGCTGGGGCGGGGCAGAGGGGCAAATAAAGTGCCCTCACCAAACCTCCGGGATAAAAGGACTGGGTGGATCCCGGAGCAGAGGCAGAGAAGTGCGTGGTTGGGTTGGTGCAGACAGCCCCCGGCGCCCCACCGCCCAAGGGGAAAAAAAAAAACCTCTCACAAAACCTTCCACCACTTCAGCAGCAGCAGCAGCAGCAGCTCAGGAATAACGGGGCATCCCTCGGACGCCTTTTCTCAACTGGGCTCATCCCTCGCAACCATCCTCCGCCTCGGGAGGAAAGCCTCCTACCGTTCTTCCACTTGTTCCTCTGCACGGCGCCTTGCCTCGCCCCTGCAAGCCCGTTACCGACGGCTCGTTTCAGTGGCGTCGGGAGCTGTTGCTGAAACCGACGCTTCCCCCAACTGTCCAGAGCGTGCATCGGGGTCTATGCTGGCCCCGCACCCGCAGCGCGGACAGCATGGCTCACTTTGCAAAAGGCGAGTGGAGCGAGCGCCAGGAGGCTGCCGCTTTTCACCCGGGAGGCGGCGGCCCACGTGCGAGCCTGGAGGGAGGGAATAAACCGGTAGCTCGGAGCAGCTCGACGGCGCCACCTCCCGGCGACCGCTGGTATATTTTAAACCCGGGATGCTTAATAACCCCCCCCCCCCCCATGCAACGTTACATAAAGAGGTCGGTCGAGATTGACGTTCAGGGCGGCGGGGAGTCTGTGGTTTTCCTCTGCAGAATGAGTAGGAGGACGTGCCGCAAACCCGGCTTGCAATGCTGCGAAGTCAGTGAAGTAATGCAAATCTCCCCCGGAGGATGAAATAAGGCTTTGAAACTCCCTCTCAAAATGACCGAATATGGCAGCTTTTCATAACACCCGAACTTGAAGCCGATGCTATTCCCCGCCAATTATTCTGGCACTCCAAGCAATGATGTCATTGTTTTGCCTTGGAAGAAGGAAAGAAAGAAAAGTCCTGAAGTTGCGCTCTCCTGCCTTCGATCTTTTGTGCCTTGGAAGTTTTTCCACAGGCGGTTCGTTGCCGTCTCTGCTAAATTTCCCTGCAAAGGTGCAAGGCGCTGCTGTTGCGTTAAATGCCTTATTGCTCCAGCAAGGTTTTATGTCTTTTTAAAAGACGCTTTAAAATGTCTTCCCCAAAAAATGCAAATGCAAAACAGTGGAATACTGACTCCTCTGTGCTTTAAAGTGTCGAATCTTTCATTTCTCTTTGCACAAATGACCTTAAGTATTGCTATTTTGTTAGGTATCAAGTTTCTTAGGGTGTCTTTCCATCAGGCTGACTGGTAGAGATGCATAATATCTTAATAGCATCACTCAGAGATTTGTGAATGAAGATAAAACCTATCCACATTGCTGTTAGGTTGGCACATTGTTAGTTGAATGACTGTAGAAGATGCAATAAATCACATGTGCAGAAATGAACTAACACACCAGACTCCTGAACAATTGCTAGTTTCTGTGACAAAGATGCAGGCCTGTTTTATGCATGTATTTTGCGGCAATGAAAGCTCTGTTGAGAATTTGAGAATGAACTTTTGAGAAAGCAGTTTAAATGACTTGAAAGCAACAGAGTAGAAGCACTTAACAGCAAATGGAGCAGAGTTAGAGAAAGGAAAGACTTAGAAGCATAAACATGAGAAGCCCTGGTTCCCCCCCCCCCCCCCAATGCCCCTACAACACAGTCACAAATAGGTCAAACAGGACAGTCAGAAAACAGTTCTGAAAACAACATCCTCTTGCCTGCTAAGAAGTGTTAAAAGAAGCTGGGAGTCATCCCATTTCAAAAATGTGTCTTTATCCCATTTAATGGCATCTTAATTCAAAATGCAAAGTAGTTTTATGATTTCATTGCAGGGACAGATTGAAGGGGATTAAGTCTTGGTATGATAGAAATGCAGGTGAAGAATCAATGAGCTCACATCAAAGTGGAGAACAATGAGGGCAGCCATATAGAGAGTGGGGTTTTCAGGTGTCCTTGCAAGTTGCTGAAACTTACCGAGGATTCCTAGGAAGACTGGTCCCTGCAGGTTACTTCTATCCTTGGATAAGAAGCAAAAGGCTTTTGGATTTAAATAGCTATAATGCATGTGGTTTTACAATGAATGGAGTAATTGATGCTAGCCAGGTCATGGGATGATGACCTATGTGGCTGTCCACTACTTTTGCTTTGGTCTTCCATCACAACGAGAGATCTTCAGCAGTTCATGCACAACATGCTGCCTGCTCCATTAGCAGTCCTGGGATGGAATGACAGTCCTTAACATAAGCAGGCTAAACATGAAAGCCAGTGTAATAGTGGCCTGATTATGAGTGGCAAAAGAAACTCGTATCTTCAAGCAGCTGTGAGGCTATAAGATTTGAGTAAATTCTGTGTTTGAATAGCAAGGAAGATTATCTTGATGGAAATATGTAACAATTTGCCTAGGCACACATTTTTAAGTCCAAAGCAATAAGGCAATTCTTCAAAGCAACTCGGGCAAAAGAGTAGAAGAAAGAGGGGAAAACAGCAGAATGTTGCCAAATTCTGTTGTAATTATTGTATTTAGTCTCAATAAATATAGTTTTAGCCTTCCTATAGAGTTGATTTTCTGATCTGATCTACCTAGTGGAGTAGATAACAGACATGTCCATATTATTTTGGGGGCAATGGTATGGAAAGGACTTTCATATTTTTTTCAGTTTCCTAATCTAATCTACAGTCCCAGGAATTCCTGGGGCTCTCCCTTCAAGTACTAAGTATGAATTTTGCTTAGTTTTTCCAAAATCAGCTCAAATTAGTTTAGTGCTCCCACTATTGGAGCAATATAATATTATACAATATTAAAGTATTGCAATTCTAATAAGGAAACAAATTAGGACTGAACTCCCAGTTCTCCTAGCTTAATAAAATCAGATCCTTGCGTATTTTTGCTTTTAAAGATTTGTGCATTTTTGCTTCTAAAGGCAGTATAAAGACTCCTGTAATTTTGTTTTCATTTATTCATATTTTTTCTTCCTTAGATTTGATTGGGGACTCATTGTTTCTGAAGAGTGACTAATCATTTCTCTCATTCTGTTTAAATATCTGCATCCCCAATACATTATAAATAATACATGCTTCTTGTAATCTACATTTGTTCCCAAATATTCCACTGAGAATTACAGTGTCATCTTGTGAATCAAGAGGAAAATTAATTTAATGGAACAAATCAAAAGTTTAGAAAAAAGTCATTTGAGCATTATATCCAGAGTAATTATTAGACTTGCAAATCATAGCAGCTTTGGCTCCTGTATCCTTAACAACTTTGTCAAATACAGATTGCCATCTGCTAAATAAATTTATTGACTGCAAGTTAAAAAAAGAATGTAAAAAATATTTGTCAGCAAATTTCACTCTTGTTGCTTCTTTTGTTGGTAACAACTTTATAGCTGTTGTATTTCGTAAAGGTAGAGAGAATGCAGGCAATGTTCAGTATTTATTTATTACTATTTTAGTAATAAGGGGAAGGGCCAGCCAGTGGTGCGATTTGCCAGTTCTCCGAATTTCCATTTGCAAGTGCTGTATTTAAAATAGCTGTATATTTTAAATGTCTAAATATATAATACTATCAATATCTCCTATTTTATTTTCATTAAAAAAAAAATACCAGTGGGTGTAGACGTTGAACCTGAGGCAAAATATTGGGAATTTAAGTTTTTTTTAAAAAATTACAGATCCCTTTATGCCGCTTTAACTGAAAGGTATGAGCTTTAATATACTTCTGTCGCTCTCCTCACCTTTTTCAAAACTTAAATTTGCTCCATGAAGTCACTTTGTTAGCCTATTTCACAAATACAGTAAGTTTGAGTGGGAGAAGCAGGGAAAGGGTTAATGTTCTTTTTCCTTAGGTAGTACTGCTGTTTAATCCAAGTATTTTCATGTAACATGCTAGAATGAAAGTTTTAGCCCAGCCATCTCTGTAATAAGATAAATTTCTACATGCACAGGCTTTTTATGGCTGGAAATATTTGTTGATAGCAAGCTCTACTGAATTGAAATGAGAGAAACAGAAAGAGCCAAAGGCATAGATTTTAAATTTTACTTAATATGATTCTCTAACTCATTCCTTTGCAGATTTTGCCAACTTCTGCAATTCTTGTTTAGATTCACTTACAAATAGAAATTATGCTTTTCTTCTCTCTGAACAAATAAGAATCGTTTCTATGATCCAGAAGGAGCTACTGTGAAGTGCAGGATTTTTAATTGCTAGCACAAAGGAGTTTACAATTGATATCAAGTAACTGGCAATAATAATTTATTCAGCGGAAGACAGAATCAATTTACAATAGGAAGGTTCTATTGCATCAGATCAAATAGTCATGTAGCTCAGTATCCGGTTTCCCCAAAACTTAACCAAATGCTTCCAGGTTTATTTGGAGATATAAGCAATATCTTCTATCTGCTCTTTGTTTTTCCTTCTGTCTCAAGCAATTTATAATCAGAAGTGCAAGTGGAATTGCCTAATGATATCAGCGAGAGACCTAAATTGGAGTAGACTGAGACAGTACCACCCAGCTCCATATGTTCATCTAGCATAAGCCTTCCCAAGATTGGTGTTCTTTATGCACATGAAGATCACAGCTCCCAGATATCCCAGCCCACATGTCATGCTCCAACATATCTAAGGAGCATCTGTGTAAGGAAACCTGCAGCTAAGTATGGTTACATTTTCTAAAAATCACAACTATGTAGACAGTGGTTTAGAACACACTGTTCTCATTATTTAACTGTTTCTTTGCATAATTTATACCCTTTTCAATCCAGAGCAGATCCACATATTCCACATATTAAAACATCAATATATCATAATAAACATTGATAACAATAAGGAATTATGGATTGTAAATATGCTATTCCCTGTTAAGAAAGCGGCAATGAGCTTATAGTCAGAAAAGGACATGAGCAGGAATGTTGTTTTAAAATCCATTTGTCGTAGACAACCATTTTTAAGGACAGAAATCTTGACAATTTTCTCCTCTAATTGCAAACTCAATATATGCACGCTTCTTCTTAGAAATATACTGTCTGCTTATTATTTATATATCTTATATGTAAACATTCTTATGTAAGAGATCTTCCATTGAGCTGCACCTTTTACTTATTTTACATGTTATGTCTCTAAGAGAGATGATGGTTCAAAACTGTGAAGACTGAATTAAATAAATAAATATTCAAAAAGTACAAGTAAAATGTCTAGAATCTTTTTGGTGCCTGGATTTCTGCAAGAACTAAAATAGTGGGCATTTCTGAAAATACAATAAGGAATTTTGATCTTATATTTAAAAGATCAAATCATCAAATGCTTATAAAAATCAATACATTACAATTTTTCCTCTTTTAGCAAAAAAAAAAAAAATTAAAAAAATTCACACTGATTAATGTAATTGGTTTTGAAATACAAATTAGATAGTAATTCTGGGAACCTGGTGTCTATCTA